TGTGAGTTAAGTTGTGAGTTAAGTTGTGAGTTAAGTTGTGAGTTAAGCTGGGAATTAAGCTGGGAGTTAAGCTGGGAGTTAAGCTGGGAGTTGAGCTGGGAGTTGAGCTGGGAGTTGAGCTGGGAGTTGAGCTGGGAGTTAGTTAAGCTGGGAGTTGAGCCTCGCTCAAGTGTTTGACCACAAACATGTGTTCTGACGTGTCCCCAAAGGGGCCATGGGCTGGTCCCTGTGATTCTCACCATCCTCCTCCTCAAGGTCTGGGCCAGGAGGACATGAAGGTGGGGAAGGGCCTCGATTTGAAGCCGTGTGAGGACACTTGGTGTGTTCAGGTGGAGAAGAAGAGTCTGGGGGGAGACCTCACTGCAGTGACAACATCCTGGGGAGGGGCAGAGGAGGGGCAGGGACTGAGCTCTGCTCTGGGGGGACCAGGGACAGCACCCAGGGAATGGCTGGAGCTGTGTCAGGGCAGGCTCAGGTTGGATTTTAGAAAAATATTCTTCCCCCAGAGGGTGGTTGGGCACTGATCAGGCTCCAAAGCTGACAGAGCTTTAAGCTCTGCCCCTCTTTTTAAAATTGTATTTTGTGCTTTCAACACCCTTACCCAGGTCCTTTCTTAAGGGCTGAGGCTTAACCACCATGAATTTAAATTAGATGGAGTTGAACCACGAGGAAAGAAAACTTTGCATGACCTTAAACAGGGCTGGAACAAGGCAGAGCTCAGAGAGACAGAGGGGCTATTCATGTTTCAAAGTGACCATACTAAATGCACAGCATATGGAAAAGCTTTCCTGGACAGCTTTCCACAGGAGCCAAGCAGCAGCAATGTATCTGACAAGGGGAAAATGAGGGAGGTATGGAAAGGGCTTCTGGTAATGTGGAAAGTGCTTCAACATGTCAGTGGATTGAGGTATCTGCTGCAATCTTTACTTGGTTCATGTTAAAAAACCCCAAACATCTTAATGTATGGCTATTCTTCCTCTTGGAGAAAAAAGTTAGAGTCTCACCCCAAGGAATTGATATCCTGGTTACTCAGAAGCCATGACAGAGTTGAGGACAGCTGGTAGAATTCATAGATATTGGCTTTTATGGATTAAAAAAACTCCCAAACCCTAAAATAAAGCCTGTGGATATGAGGAAGCACAACCCAATTTCTGAAGAATGCAGCTCAATACTGATCAAGTGATGCTGAAACAGAGACAACCAACCACAGGTGGCAAGATGGGGCAGGATAACTGTGACATCCCACCAACACTGTTGCTGCAGAGGATAAATGGTGTGTCCTAAACTCAGCAAGAATTGCAGGTTTAAAGGCAGCATCATATGAAGTCTCTGAAAAGTTCCTCGATAACGGGCCAGAATTTAGAGTATTTAATCAATTTTCAGTGCAATGCAGCACTTCAACGTTCACCCAGAGGAACAGGCTTGGAATGAAAAATCTGCTATTTTATAGAAAATAATTTGAATCACTGTGCTGGACAAAATCAAGACTATCAGTCTATTCAAGCGTGAGGAAAAAATAACCCACTGACATTATCTTTGTATTCTTTTACTGCTTAAGTGATACAGATTCCAGCCAACTGAAGTTCTCTTGCTTTTACTGCCTTGAGCCCTCCTGTGACAGAGTCAGCAGCAGCAGGGAAATGTTAAAGGTGCATCATAATTAAACAGGCAAATAAAGTCATTGGAACCTGCCCTTGTAAGAGATGCAACAACGTGACAGGAATTGCTGCACTTCCCCAAGAGATCGGAGATGTACCAGCTCTACCAAGCATTTAGTGATAGATTTATATAGAAAATTATATAAATGAATATATTTTGATATCTAGATAGCTCAGCCCACAGCCAAAAGGGCAGCAGATGCTTGAGAAGCAGCCCCACGTGTCTGTGGTGGGTACCACGATCCATTCACCTCCAACATCCCAAAACCAAAGCTGGCCACACATCATAATGTGTCTACTGGGAAAAGAGACTTTCTCACCCTGGTGATACATTATTATCATCTCCATTCCTCTCATTAGCTTGTTTGGGGGCCTCTTCCATACCACACTCCTTGCTGCAGCTGGGAGTTTAACACCAGGAGCCTCTCCTGGCACTTCCTATATCCAGAGCTTTCATTGCAATGTCTTGGAATTAGTCTCCTATTTCAGCCTGCTGCTCCATCAGCCAGTTTCTATCACTGCATTAAGTACAAATAAACTCACATTGTACAGTCTATGCCTGTTGACACTATTTGTCATTTAATCCCCCAGTACTCAGAAAGTCTCTAATCTTTCAGTGTGAACACTTAGCCTCAAGTACAGGAAAAAATGAGGAAACAAGATGGAAAATTAATATTTATACAATACATGGAAACACACAGCATGTTTTACAGAGCTCTGAACACTGTCTGGGATTCCTCTCCAGCCTTACAACCTCAATCCTGCTTTTTAATTTAAAGGTCAAACTGTACCTGCAAGTTTCCAAGATGTCAGGTCTTGGAGGCCAAGAGGTTCTCATTCAACACCACTCAACAGCACAGACCCAAACCACAGCTGCACTGGTTCAGAAAACCACTGGGGCTCACCAGTTCTGACAACAGAATGTTAATACCCAGCCCTATGGGCACCCGTCAGAATTTGATGTTTTTTAAACTGTCTACTCATGCATAATATGAATATTTATTCATCCCTCTCTGGTTGTTTGCCAGAAAGTTATTTTAAGCTCCTTGGTTGTGGTGTAAGATGCTCCCCTCCTCCTCCCATCCCTGCCTACTCTGTCTGTGACACTGTCGGCATCTCTCCCTGAGAAAGAAAATTAAAAGAAAATAAGGATAATGTGCAATATTAATGGCAGAACACAGGAAGGTTACAAAAAAAATGTCTTTTGACCTTCACAGATTTTTACTCAATGACATAAGATGAGCTAGAAAAGAATATAAGCATATCTTAAGGTCAAAATCCACATCAGCTGATAGATTAGTCTTTTCGTCCACCACAAAACTGAGTTAAAATAACAAATTCAGTCATATTTCTGCCCAAACTCACACGTGTTTTACTCAGGGCAGAGAAACTCAAGCATTACAGTCTATAATACAGTATTTGACACAGTTCATTTGGAGTTCAGAATAGTTTCTGCTCCTTCCTACTTTTTATGGGCTCGGCTTGGAAATTGCATTTCTCAGTTTGCTGCTAATATCCATCCACATCCTGGGCTCCAGAGTTTATTCTCTGCTCCATGCACATGTGTCGCTCCCATTAATGCTAATGGAATGGAGTTAAAAGGGAGCACTGAGGGAGAAAAAAGCACTTGCTAATCCTTTATAACCTGCCCACCAAGGGAAGTGATTTGTAAACCACGTGAAGCCAAGGCTCAGGTACCACAGCTGCCGACTCCTGTGCCCGGGAGTCACGGGCAATTCCATGGGCACAGGGAGGGAGAAAGGATAAGCCCTGAACTACAGAACCTTGACTCTTCAATGACAGGAAGGAATCACTGCTGTTTTCAACAACTGGCTTTTTTTTTATGGGGGTACAAGTGGTCCCTGAGCTGCAGACCCTGGTTCACCCCCTCAGTGTCCTGCAGCATGTGGAAAACCAGGATAACCTCAGTTGTGCCCAGCCTGGAGATGAACAGCTGTGAGCTGTGAGCACTCACCACCCTGCTGCCACCCGTGTGGAGCCTGGGGAAGGGCATTTGGGCTGGCTTTGGCATTTTGCTCTCCAGTTTTGCTGCTGATCACAGGCTGCCCAGAGAAGCTGTGGCTGCCCCATCCCTGGAAGTGTCCTGGGCCAGGCTGGACGGGGCTTGGAGCAACCTGGGCTAGTGGAAGGTGTCCCTGCCCATGGCAGGGGGTGGGATGAGATGATCCTTAAGGTCCCTTTCAACCCAAACCATTCTGGGATTCTGTGGTTCCATGACCCTTTTGCCAATAGACAAGGTCTGGTTTATGTTCTTGTTCCCTCAGCAGCACTTTCCCAGCTCTTTGCTGCAGGTGCCTCCTTAGGAAAACAGAGATTCAGAAAAGGCAGAGTCAGCTCATCCAGAGCCCTAACGCTGGTCTTCACTTGCCTCTATTCTTGTTTGCAGGGACCAACATGGGCACAGGCAAATGCCATACAAGGTACTCAAAACAACCCAAACCCAAAGAACTGTTGGGGCCCACATGTTCCCCTACAGGCTTCACAGAATCCCAGACTGGTTGGGGTTGGAAGGGACCTCTGGATGTAACCGAAGTATAAAAAACATGGGTTAAAACCTGCATTGAAATATTTTTAATTATTCCCTATATACCATACAAATATTTGACAAGGAGAACCTCTAACTGAATATGATCCATCAATGCCAATACACGGGAGAATTAAAACTGACAGCACTAGAGCTTTGTGATTGATCTATGGCTTTGTAATCAATCTTTCCTGATCTGTTATCCAATATAGGTTTTTCCCCAAATAAGAAGGAGATAGACTGTGATTGTAAGTGTAATAACCTATATGTTCATTGCCTGTAATAATTCATCAGACATTGGACTACTCATAAGCAGGCCAAAACTTAATTCAAGACATTTGTCAGTGTCTCTCACTGTTTATCAAACCATTCCTTTAAATGTCTTTGTCAGACATTGGAGCTTTTGAAAATCATATTTGCCAGAATACGAACGCACACGAACAAACACTTGGAATTCCTGAAACGCAGAAATGTGGCCCTGGGTAAGGAATAATGAAAGCAAATTGGACTTTGTGCATCAGCTGTGCATAGTAAAAGCTGCAGTTACCTTTCACCAGCAGGCTGCCCGTGCTGCTCGCCGTCCCAAAGTGGTTGGTGGCCACGCAGGTGTAACTTCCCGCGTCGGATTTGGTGACGTTGACGATCCGGAGGCTCCCGTCATCCAGGACGGTGATCCTGCAAAGGCAGCAGACACGGAAGTTTTAGGATATTTTTTAAGACAACATCAAGCTCTTTTGAGCCTGCACTAATCACGGGTGGTCTGAGCAGCAGACGCCGCGCTGGCCCTGGCAGGGGGAGTTCAGCTGAGGGAAACCTCTCCGGATGCGCTTCATAAATACTGAACGTGTCACTCACGTGAGTTTTCTGCGTCTTTACTCCAGGGCAGCTTTAATTTACACATCAGCAGCTCGTGGGGGTTTTGCACACGCCTGTACTTCGATATTCAGCCCTCACCATGACAACCCCTGCAACACGTGGCACTCTGTGTGGCACTTGTTCTTATATTAAGGTCTTTATCACCTGACATACCAGTTTTCAGTTTCAGAGTACTAACCCCTCACAGAGCATTCACCTAAATGATACCTCGTTTGGAAATAAGCTAGGTAACACAAATTAATCTTTAGACTTTTAAATCTCATTCTAATAATTAATAGGAGTTTTTCCCAAAAGCTCTCAGTGAGACTAAGCATGTCAAATTACTCCAGAACTGAGTTTAATGTTCAAATAGAAAATAATCTACGAGACATATGATGTAAAGTCAATCTGCGCACACACTGTAAATCCAACGTAGTAAGTTCACAAATGAGGTACCTGTGATACTGGCCTAATGTTATTTTTTGTAGGAAAACAAGCAAACAAACCAAGAAACCCCACACGTGGCACCCGGGGAAACCTCGGCGCTCGCTGCTCCCGACGCAGGCGCCGCTGCCGAGCAGCTGCAGTGAAACAGGTGTTTCAGTGCTGCCTTTTTCCCAGAAGCCTGATGGCTTTTCAGCAAGAGGACCACGATGCCAAGCTTGCTCTCCATCTCTCTGCCTGTGCAGAACTCAACTCTTCTCCACAGTGGTGCTTGCAGGTTAAAAAGAAATGATCCTGTTTCGTTCCAGTCCTCTCCTAACCCACCTGTTTCCCATCTTAACAGTGTTACCTGCAGTGGGACACATCTCTTGAGGGCAGGAGGCAGGTGAGGATGGAATGTTAATCTTGCAGCGATCCCCTGCCCCTCCTCTTGCACAATGGCTGCATCTCAGGCTCCCCTTTTTCTCACAATGAGCTTTGTCTCATTCCAATTTTTTTCTGCTCTGACTGAGCGAACACAGAAAATCTGATGCTGTCCAGTAATCCCAAAAAGCATGAATGATTTGTGCCCTGTGGAGGCATAATCTAAGCAGACTCCAGAAAAACCTTTCTCCCAACCTAGTATCACCTCTTTCAGCAAAATCCCTGTCTGTCTCCTCAGTATCATGTCCTGCAGCACAATCTCCTTTCTTGCCCTCAGCCACTTTCAACCTGCACTGAAAATCTTGTCTTAATTCCTGCCTTCTCCTGCTCAATTATTTCCCAGCTGAACTGAAATGAAGGAGCCTTCCTGCATCCTTAATGCCAAAGCAGCTCTGCACAACTGCACTGAGAAACCAGGAGGAGAGAAACTCAGCAAACAGCTCTTGCACCACTGCAGGAGGGCTGAGGTTGCACTTCCCACCTGAGGAGGCTTTAAGGGACAGGAATTAGCTGGAGCCTTTTCTTGCAGCCATGGGACAGCCCCGAGGCAGCTGGATAAAGGACCAGGGTGAGACAGGGCACAAACAAAAGCACCAAGACCACCTTGGTGGGGCTCCCCAGGCTCCTGCCAACTGCTGTCCTATGCTAGACATGGTCTCCAGCGAGACTCAGGAGACATCCCCTCACTCAAGGGAGCTGGTGTGGGTGCCTTTTGTCATTTCATATGCTCTGGGTGGGCACACACGGGCTACTGAGCCCACCTGCTTCAAAAACCAGGACAGTCGGAGGGTCTTTACCAAACAAGGAGCAGGAAGATGGTGCAGGATGCTCCAGTCTCCACCCTGGCTCACCTCTCCTGCCCAAGAACACCCAGGTCAGCCGGCAGAGCCCAGGGACAGAGGTTGTTTTTCACACATCAGTAGCAGTGATATTAATAGAAGCTTCTCAACTGGTTTATAGGTCTCCAAATTGTTGCAGTCAGTAACGTTCACCACTGTAATTTATTTTTGCAGGGCTCCAGTGCCATGTATTTGCTTCTGTGGCAGTTGCTCCAGCTGGATAATTGGAAGAGAGCAGTTTATAGCTCCTTGTCCCTTATCTTCACCACTGTGTTGGCACAAATCAATGCACGGATTGCATTAAGTGTGTGCTGGAGCACAGGACCTGCCACGCTGGCCTCCAGCACAGGAGCCTGGGCAGCAGCAGCACCAGCAGCTCCCAAGGAATTATTTGCTGCTCTTACCAATCTCAGGGCTTGGGAAAGCACCGTGCCTTTCTGGAAGCTGAAGGTGCCCTTGGCAGGCATTAAAATTCCAATCAATATCAACAGCAGAACAAGCTCAGCAATGTGTTCCAGCTCAAGGAGGACCATGGTGCTCCAGCACTCCTTCCCCTCCACACCTCTGCCACCCCAAGAAATCCAGAAAATAATGTTTTACATTATTTCTGTACAGTTGATATTTTATCTTTAGTTGTTTATGTTTTATTTTCGGCCATATGGTTGAAACCTCTTTACTGGATAATCTCTCCCATAGATCATTTTAATTATTCTGTTGATGAAGCCAGATTTAATTTCAAATCCTAATGCCTTTTCTGCCTCTGTCATTCTCATACTATTGGTTTCCTTCTAAGTTGTCTTTATTCCCAGTGTAAAACTGGGTTTCAGCTAATGTGGCCTGGATTGACCAAGAGACAACCTTTGGATCAGGACAGTCAATCCACCATTGGCTTTGGCACATCTCAGGGAGCTTGTGCTGTCTTTATTTCCCTCCCTTTCTAAGCTGAAAGCCGTGGTCACTGGCTTTACACTCTGAGCCCACAGACATCCTTTAACCCCAGGAACGTGTTGCAAAGACTTCAAGAGAGATTTGCTTTGAGTTCTCCAAGCCCCCTCCCCAGAGAGTCCCCAGGCACATTGAATTCTCATCTGGTATCTCAGCACTTCCCTCCACACTCCTGTAAACAACCAGCATTAAAACTGACAGATAATTGTACAAGTTAACTGATTTTTTTTAAATAAATCAGACCATTAAAACCTCTCTGCGACTCATTGATTAGGAGGCCTTATGGTTATGTGGCTCTTTTTTGCTGAGGGTGCTTTTCTGCAGTGAGTGTTTTGTCCTCTAATTTAAATCCAATGTGTTAGAAGTTAACAAATAATTATTTGAACACTTGGAAATTTGTTACAGTTAGTTGAGAAAGTAGGAAGGACTCTCACTGCTACTGCTAATTCCCAAATTTTCTTTGCAGACTTATCTGCACTAAACGAGAGGAGAGGCTCATTTCAGGCCACTGAGGTTCTCAAACTGCTAATTGGCTTGAAAGCAATCAACCCTTCATCCACCACTTTTAGCAGTTTGGGTGGAAAAGTTCTTTCAAGACACAGAGTTCAAACTGAACGAAGCACTGCTCAGTCTGCTCTCCCCCCTGAAATACACCCTCAAAGTGTTTTCTAACCAGATGCCCAGGAAGACATAAAAATAAACCACATTTCCCATAAACACATGCATTACTTCAGAACAAAGTGATGGTTGCTGAGTAGGCATTTTAGACCACTACAAACTCAAAAAAGGAGCTACTGACTCCCTGTTGAATGTTCAGGTTTCCCTGACACTACTAATAACAGGGGTAACAATTAATAAAAATACAAATCTCTTCTTGCACAGGCCAATGCAACTGTTCTACTGATAACCTGGCTCATGGTCACTGTTAATAGCAGAGAAAAATCAAAGAAGATAAAAATATCCATTTAAAAAAAAAAAAGATGATACAAGGTAGTTTAGCACCCTTACTGAAAGAAAGGTCATCTATTTTAAACACAGCATTTGTAAGAGAGAATCTGTGGGTCTGTGTTGTCAACTGGAGATTTCAGGTCCACAGAGAGCAAAGACATGTCTGAAATTAGGAGATAAAAGGATTGCTTGTTTTCTAACCCAACGTGTTGGGTTCTACTCCAGGAAGAGCTGACCTTGTCAGTGTTTTGATCAAAACTCTTCTAGGGACAAAGACCTTTAAAAACGCTGAAAACATCCCTCCCCAGCCTTCCTTACCCATTTTTATTTTGCCACTGCAGCAGCAAATGGAAGAAGTTGCAAAGTGAACGCTTTGCATCCCCCTGAAGAAGCATTTCCACAGGTGACAGGCACAGAGATCCCAGAGCAGCTCCCTGAGACAAGGGCACGGAGGGACAGGACAAGGGGAATAGCTTCCCACTGCCAAAGGACAGGATTAGATGGGATATTGGGAAGGAATCCTTCCCTGGGAGGGTGGGGAGGCCCTGGCACAGGTTGCCCAGAGAAGCTGTGGCTGCCCCATCCCTGGAAGTGTCCAAGGCCAGGCTGGATGGGGCTTGGAGCAACCTGGGCTAGTGGAAGGTGGAACTGGGTGAGCTTTAAGATCCCTTCCCACCCAAACCATTCTGGGATTCTATAGTGCTGCAAGCCCATAACTGCACTGCCCTCTGCCAGCTCTGCAGGGGGGGAAGAGATTTAAAACTTTTGTCTATTCGGCTGGTGTGAACCTTGAAAAGTGCACCAAGGAGCCTCATCTTTATGGATGACAAATATCTGAGAGTGTTCCACAGCTCCACAGAGCTCTGCTGCTCAAAGACACCCGGAAAGGACCCACCTTGGCACCACGGCCCCGGCAGCACATCCCTCTGCCTGCATCACTCCAGCAACACCAACTCACCCAGAGCCTCCAGCAGCAGCTGGAGATGGATGGAAGAGGTCAGGCAGACCTGGAGCAGTATAAGGAAAAATAGCAGTGCATAATCACTTTGGTCTGATCTATTAGTGCTTATTTTTCAGCTCATGCTCCATCTGCCACGTCTGCAAGTCGCCCGTCAGCAACTGTGTTACCTCCAACCCTGAATTGAGCACGATAGATCTGATTCATGTAGCCCACTGCAGCATTCCCCACTGCTGGGCAGGATTCCCAGGAGCAGATAAATA